TCATGCGTTCCTGCCATGTCACAGTGTGTGTGTGTGTGTGTCTGTGTGTGTTGCTGCCCTGGCACTGTGCTTATGTCCCCCCTCATTAGCCAGTCGCAGGGTGGTGACATCCTGAGCGACTGGCCCTTCAAACACACACTTCCTCTTCATACCGGTGAATTCTTCTTTCTACAGGAAACCACACAAAGACTCGTATCTAATGGACCTCTTTTTCCGGGCTTCACAGGAAAGAAACTGAAAACTGAAGTAGGGTAGCATAGGAAGTACTGCAGTCATATCAACAGAAAATTCCCACTCCCATCTAATCTGAATCATATTTCTTCTGATTGTAATATTATATATCATTTTCCCACTGTAGTTATGATCTGTTCACGTGCCACACACGTGACTGACTTTACTTAGTCCCATCTTAATTTGACGCACACTAGATTTATTTAAACTGAATCAGTAATTAGATTACTGGTAGAGAGGACACACACTCGGCGCAGTGTGTATCAAAAATGTTTTACATAAAATAAATAATGAATTCAATATTGTATTTGTTTCTGTTTTTAAAAACACAACCACACTGAAAGAAGTCCCTGGGAAAACTCACCACCCAGCCCCCTGATAAGAGAACATATGGCGACATATACTAAATGCTTAGTACGCGGCCCCTGAAAGGCATATTGTATGATAAACAAACCCTATTTGACTTTCCCGAGAGCATCTCTGCATCGTTCTGTATCCTTTCCATTATTCTGGCATTCACTGTGAGGCGGCCATCTCCTCAGGACAGGAACAGGAATCAGCTGACATGAGCTTGTGATTGATGTTCACTTGATGCTTATTGATCGCTGGTTGCCCTGGGTCTTGTACACAGAGTCAGGGTCAGTGCTTACCCATAACACTGGTCCTGCAGGGCATTAGTGCACAGCTACAAAGGTTACTGTATGACCCAGGGAATAGGAGGGGCGAAAAACTTTTGGAGGAGCAAGACCATGCAAATAATAGAATGAAGAGTCCTGTTGGTGGGTTTATGGTATTATAATATACCACAAATGGAATTAGAATCACAAATATTGATTGTATTCACTTAAAGATCTTCAGTGCATAACACAATCTAATTTATGAAATGCACTAACAGGACAACATATTACATTAATGTCTCTTCAGATTTCAATAAAAATTTAAGGACATACTTGGTGAAACAATTATAAATAGAAGATATAAAAAGGCATTTGAAACCCGTTTCAAGTGAAAATGTTGCGGACGTCATATCTCCCTGGTTGGCGCCTGGGTAAATATAGTTGGGACCACAGCATGAATGGGACCTTGTGCATCCTCCTACTCCGCTAAACTAGATTGGCTCTTAATAGTGTGCACACACAAGTGTATGTAGTAAGCAGCTGTAGCCACCTTCCTATTAACTCTTCCTCTTACACTGCTGAGCTCTCTCCTGCAGAAATAACGCTGCCTTCAGGAAACACTCACATCATGATGGGTGCATATGGACAAAGACTGAGAGAGATGCCCACTGAATGAATGCCATTACTGAACTGGCCAGTAGCATTGCAGTAATGGCATTAAACCATATAAGAGCAGAGCACAGCTTTACATTTAGGGGCACACGCTCTCAGTGAGGTCTGTTTGTGGCTCTAAACCTTCTGTAATCAGTTGCTAGATCAAGCGCTAACGGAGAGACACACCCTATCACTTTCCCCTCTCAAAGAAACATTGGGCTCCTTCAAACAGTTGTCATTGTGTCTTATTATAATTGACACCCAACATGGTCCTCTGTTACACAAGTTCAATCTCAAGAGCCCCAAAGAGAGTAGCTGCAGAATAAAACCGATTTGTTTTAGCATCCAGAGGACTGGTAGTGAAGACAGAGTTTTAAGTAGGAAAGCTAGTGGAGATGAGAGAAAGGGGGGGATTGAAGTGTAAAGAAATAAGAGGAAGGAAAAGAGTGAGAGCAGTGAGAGACAGAGATGTAGAAGAAGAGGGAGAAAAAGAAAAAGTAGTAATGGGGGAAGTGGTGCGTGTCTTTTCTGCAAATCTCCTCTTTCACCTCTGCTCTCCTCCAGCTCTCCAGCCAGGGCCAGTCAAGAGACACTTCACCTCGCACCCGCATACACATGGAGCCCGAGCCGACACACAGACGTACATACACACACAGAGAGAGAGAGAGAGGACACACACTCACAAAACTGCACTCTCACACACATCCACACTCGCACAACTGGCATATAAGTATTTAGCTGCCCACTCAGAAAAATAAATGGTAAAGCACAGACAAGAAGGCTTTAACACACACATGCACACACATAAACTTTAGTGTCAGAACACACGCACACACTTGACACCAGATACGTGTACATATAGGCATCCATATGCTCTGTGTGCAACGACCCATCAAAGACAGACATGGAAATAATAACAGTTGAGTGTAACGACACACACATTCACTCACTATGGATAACTCTACACATGTGCACCAAATCACTGCCTCCCGGTCCCACACAACAGTAAGAAGCAATTCATATGCACCACATATGTGACATGCAGTGCAGAACAATGTGCACGCACACACACACTCTCTGCTGTATCTGTGTGTTAACAGGCAGATTAGCATGTTGTGCGATCTGCACTAAAGATTATATCAATCCCATTTCTTCACTCAGACAAAGGAAAGCGGAGCATTTTATTCATCCCCTCTGAACGACCAGCATTCACTTTCAGGGGTTTAACTTAAACAGGCAGGACTGTGTAGGCGGCGCAGAAATATGTGAAATAAGGAAAAAATCAACAAATATAACTGTAACATTGATCCCAGGGAAACGTTAATAAATGTTAGAATAAATGGAAATAGAAGAACTGGACTGGAAATTTAGAGTCGATATTTAGGGTGGGTGTTTTGTTGTTGTTGTTTTACTATAAAGCTAATATTATCAGTGACAAAATGCCAGTATGCTATTTAATTATTTGAAAATAAAATTTAAAAAAAGATCCTGAGTGAATCAGTGCACTCTTCTACTTTTTATTTAGGAAATAAAAATATTTTTAGTAAATATAAATATCGATTTTAGCATATCCTTTTACTGCTTTTTAGTTGAATTATATTTAAGCTCCCTGGCTCTTACATTTGTAACTGAATGACGTGAGGAAATGCAGACTTAGAGCTGGGGCTTTGATTTCAAAGTCCAAAGAAAAATATTGCAATCTAGAAAAATGCATGTGCAACTTAAAGAATGTAAAGACAAAATTCTAAGAAAATGTGCATTATTATGATTGATTTCTACTGATTCCTAATTTATCCTGGACATGCTAACACGTGTATTCCATGTGGAGCTCAGAGTCTCTGTGTGAGGTGAAGCAGTGCTGAGACACAAGCTGTGATGCCACTGTACCTCTTCCAGGTCTCGGCCCATAGTCGACCTGTCGCACTTCAAAGGAAGCCGCGTTACAGCACCCTTGCAAAAAGAAAAGGAAGAGGCTATTTTAGAGAGAGTTTTAGATCGAAGACACACACGGATTTCTTTCTTTCCCTCCTAGCTCTGCTGTAAGCCTGGGTGGCACCATCAGATCCTCAGGTTGAGGTGATGCGTGAGTTGTTCCCACATTCCACTGACTTGAAGCTGAGGAGGTAGAAAAAGACGAGGCCTGTGGCTTCTGTACTATAGAAGAATTATCCCTGATGAACCAATTAGGCTCTTAGAATCACTTAACTGAGGGGGTTTAACTTGCAAGGGTCAATATTCCTAGTCATGCGTCAGAAGCAGCGGGCAGTTTAGGCTCCAGATATTATCACAACCTAATGCCTGGGAAATAACTCAACCCCTAATTAATGTGTGTGTATTATTCCTTCATAAGAACAACTATAAACTTTCTTTCTTGCAGTGTTTTGTAAAAATGTGCGCCACTCTCTGAACATTAGAAAGCTGAGAAAACAGGCAGTGAGCTATTTATTGAATCAATTCCATTGATTTCATTTAAATTTCCTGGCGTTTGTGCTGTTTCCCGTTGACACTTGCGTGGATTATGAAGGTTATGAGTCTGCTGCTATGAGATTTTAATAGTTTCTTCAAAGACTAAGGCCTGTTTTGAAAGGTGTAATTTACAAGTTAGATGCAAAGAGAAATGTCTGGCTCGCCAAATGTTGTTAATTTCGTTCGTTTGGAGAAACAGGATAATCAAAGCGACTGCATGAAGATCAATAGGCCTATGAATTTTTAACACCGAAGTTAAAACTGATAGAAAAAATATTGAATTCCCCTTTATTTTTTGATTTGTTTCTCTAATTTGTAACAACGCCACCTCGTATTTAGATGTGGAACGTTTCATTTCCTTCAGAACATCTGATTATAGTAATAAACTCATTTATTAATTATGAAATATTTGGCAATTACAGCCGAAATATTCAGTGAAAAGCATAAATAATAAAGGCGTAAATCAAAAAGGAAATCGGGAAATTCTGAGGAAACATTTCTTTTCAAATTGCCATATGTTTTAATTAGGTGATTTTACAGTGAAAGAGGCAGGTGCTGCTTTCTATGGCTTGATTGTGCTAGAAAACACCAAAAAAAAGGTTTAATATCAGATGTCCTGTTTCATAATAACATAATTAAAATGTTTGCTTTACTTTGTTTACAGTCATCGGTCACTGGCGTCTTGCACCGAGATGCCCAGACACCTGCTATAAACCATGTCGTTTAAAACGTGGAAAGAAATTGATACATTCATGTCAAACTGATATTTATCTCATTTCTTAAGTCCTGTTGTCAAGTGTGGCTTACAAAGAATTTCAAAGGCATTACCAAATGTGTGGCTTGGTGATGCCCTGCATCTCACCACAGCCGTGTTTGTCCTGAACGCACTGCGCAGAAGTGTGTTGCGTCTCTATCGATCAGACGGAAATATAATTTGGCCTAACAACGATAAAATACCGCATCCCTCGTGTCACCTAGTTGATCTTTAAGGGAGAGAGGGGAGATTTTGAAACACAAGCCCATAACGCATTTCTTTCCTCTAACACTCCAGGGTGCGCCAGCCTCCACAAACACAAAGTCATTATCGGTTAGATTCCAATAAAGCGAGTCTGTCAAGGAACAGGCTTCCTTAGGAGAATTTATGTCATGCCTACTAAACATGGGAAGATGTCTTCTAAGTAGTGCGAGCAAGGATAAATAACAGCGAGTCCCACAGCTGATTATATTGAAACAACGGTGCGCATTTGTAAAAAGGAGTGGGGATGCAAACGTGGGGTCCCAACAGATCCTGAGCGCAGGGGCCCATCCACCTGCTTCATACGGGGAGAGGAGGAGAGAAGAGGAGCTGTATCCTCTCAGAATTCAATGCACCAGTCTCTTCCAAATCAATTATCAGTAGGTTTTAGGACCGGTTTTTTTAGGAAAAAGAAATTAAATGGACTTGTAGAAATGCGTTGATGCGCAGCGATGCAGTTCATTTGGGCGTGAACACATAATCTTTTGGTAGATTAGGCAAAGAGAAATGCAGAAATTGGGGCATTTCTCATTAAGAAACACAAAGCAATGTCGGAAAAGTTGCGTTAAAATGAAGGATAATATTCCCAAAGTTACACCGATATGTTTTGACTACATTAGACTTTGGAGGTATTAAACACACTAAACTAAATGGGCTGTAATCACGGGCCGGCAAGGTGACACAAGTTCCTAATTATTTACAAGACAGCACAGCTGTTGCGCAAGAACTGCTGTGGCCTGGCTGAGCGCGCACCAGCATGTGCATGGTACGGAGAGCCTGCAAGTCCCGCTATGATTAACTGCAACCTCACAAACATCTTCTGTCTTTACTGTCTCCCCCTCACACAGGTGCGCGAGAACGGACGCGCACATACAAACACACATATGCGCCTGCACGAAAGTCGACTTGCACTCTTCACTCCTTCGGTTTTTAGCCGACCAAACGAAAAAAAAAAAACCCCCGTCGTCTCTAAAAACAACTCTCTGCTCTCTAACTTCGAGGGTAGTTTTGGAAAGAAAAAAGATACAAAACATGGAAGAAATTCAATATAGCATCCAGGATAACGTGAGAAATGTCGGGAGGATATGGCCCTTCCTCAGGCGGTGCAGGCGACCTGTTCTCATCGCTACTTTTCCAGGCGAGCCTGTGCTCATTCATGGCTCCTCTGCTGTCCTGCAGCCGCACAAGGGGCTTCCTGCCTCGGCCACATGAAGTCAATTAGCCGGTCCCTGAGGGTTGCCCCTTACCGAGTCTTTATCAGCACCGAGGTTACCAAAACACTGCTGTTGCTCGCTTTTCAACTCCACACCGCTCACACACCGATTACAGAGACGTATGTAACAAATCCGGACAGGAGACGACCCATCAAATACATGTTAATCTGATAGTCTGCAAATTTTGCATTAAAATGTGTTTTTACAAATACACCAAATATGCTAGTGTACTGTAGTTATATAGAGGAAAATGGCATGTATTAAATGTGTAAAATTAAAGGGAACATGAACAGAAACTACACAAATGGAAACAACAACATAAAGTCACACACAAACATCAAATCGAATTAATTCCAAAATTGGAAAACAGTTATAGAAATGCAGTTGCAAGTGAGGTTTCTTAATTTGAAATATGACAAACAATACACTTGCCACAACCACCTCATCCCCTAAATTACACACACACACACACACACACACACACACACACACACCTACTGACACACAAACACTCTTTTCTTTACACACACAGACCAAATGTGAAAATCACTGTAGCATCTAAACACACCAAGAGACAGAAAAATAAAAGTTTGGTTACAGAATGAAAATCTAGAAGGAAGGAAGGTGAGAGGAGGCAGAGATGGAGAGGATGAGGGAGTGAGGCTGAGCTGACGTACCTGCTGGGACATTCTGTAGAGGAGGTTGCTGTCAGTGCTCTGCTGCTGCCATGTCCCCATGAAGCCTGGCTGCTCAGCACTAGGCGGTCTGGTGCTGAACTGCATGGAGCTTTCGCCTGCTCCCTCAGCGCTGCTGCTAACGATACTAATGCCACCCAGACCGCTTCTGTTGCCGCTGCCGCTGTGGCTGCTGGAGGGGTGGCTCGTGCAAACGCCAGTGGTGCTGTTGGGTCCGTTAGCTTTAGCTGGAGGTGACCTGGGTGGCTGTGGGTCTGTGCTGGGCTCTGGTGGGACTGTGTCACACTCACTGCTTCTCACATCCAACTCTGCCTTCTTGGACTTAGACAGAGAGAGGGAGAGACAGGGAGGGAGGGCAGGAGGGATGTGGGAGTGTGAAGGAGGAGAGAAGAAAAAAGTCAGTGAAGGTGGGTTCTTCTGGGGTCGTGCTGCCTTTTTTCATCTCACGTGGGTCCTGCTTCTCGAGGAGGACAGCAGAGAGAGGAGAGATGAGGGAGTTGATGTAGCCTATGTGTGTGAGGTTTCTTGGCAGCTCTGATGGCAAAAGAGTGCATGTGGAGTTAATTCTGGTGAAGAGAGAGAAAAGAGGGCTTGCGGTGATTTTCCTCAGGGGCCTCGTCTCGGACAGGGCAAGATGAGCGGAGCACTGGAGATGAGGAGAATGATGGAGGTGAGACGGGGGACTGATGAAAATGTGAGTAAAGTGAAACCAAAATGAGGAGGTTATGGGATTTAGTGAGGAAGGACACATAATGTTGCTTGTGGCCTCAGGTTTTGCTTTAATCCATCTGTCAGTCATTTTGTACTTGGACACAAACACGCAAAGGAAAATGTTTACAGCATGCATGCATACACACATTTAAAAACTGACACAGTGCTCTAAAGTAAAATAGTAGGAAAGTAAAAGTTAACCTGGGAGCTGCATCAGCACACTCAGCACATGCACGCATAAAAGCAAATAAGTGTAATTCTGTGTAATGAAAATATTTGTATATAATGTAACAAGTCTTAAAGAAATGAAAATCAAATGTGTGTACTACGTTGTTAACCAGAAACAGCAGACAATTAAATGTAAAGTAAATAAACGGTTTCGCATAAAATATGAACATCAAGCAAATAAAACCTTCAAAAATCTCAAAAAGTCCAATTTTCCAAACACAGAAAAGTCCCATACAAAGTAAACAGCTGAGCCAATAAATTGCATGAATGTCTCTTACCATCAATTCTGTGTCTGTCCCAGCAAAGTGAAGACGAGGTGTGGGAGTGAGCCACCAACTATCCAGCTCTCCCTGCCTCCCGCTCCTCTCTCTCTCTCCTTTTCTCTCTCTCTTTCTCTCTCTCTGTGATCGTGTCCCTCTCTCGACGTCCGTGCCACCGCCTGTCCTCTCTCTTTTCCTCTCTCCCTGCTTCTCTCTCTCTGACTCCTCTGTACTCCGGCGCAGCCGCTGAGAAACTGAACTGAACGCCTGAGCCTGTGTGTGTCTGTGTGTGTGTAGGTGTGTGTGTGTGTGTGAGGGAGAGTGAGAGTGGGAGAGAGAGGTGGTGGCTCTCTGAGTGTCTGTATGTAAGAGGACAGCGAGTGAGTGTGTCTGGTCGGTGCAGGCTCAACTGAGTCAACTGTGCTGCTCCACTCTGAGATGCTCAATGACACTTTTCCTCACATACAGACACACACACACACACACACCCTCCTCCCCTGCTAGGGGCAGGAAGGTGGGGGCAAGCGCCATCGCAGAGCAGGAGAAGGGGGGAGGGAGCATTTGTCCCCCTGCTTTATTACAATTTGCGCTGCGAGCAACCGGCACGTCTCAGAGCAACTTAGTTCCCCTGTGGGACAGTCCCACCACACACACACACACACACACACACACACAAAGTGCTCTGTTTCTATTGAGCCTGAAGAAAAGCATCACTGTTGCAGACTGTTATCAATTATTTGCTTCTTTAATTTAAAACAATGAAATTGAGTATATTCTATGGAGAGATTTTTTTTTTAACACAGCTGAAAATGGTTTTGTTGCTGATTTGTAGGGCGGCTGTCAAACAAACAAACAAACAAACAAACGAAAAAATATCAGTAGACTTGTTTTATCACTATAAAAATCTACCACCTTTGATATTCACCCACTGAGGTTCCATTTTAGCCAAATTGGTCCCCACAGCAGCAAAGATAAGGGGATAAAATGAGGGATGGAGGTGTAAAGGGGAGGCAGACGTGGAGGAAGAGACACACAGGAGAATAAAAAAAAAAAGATTGGAAGGAGATCTATGCTTCCTTTGACACAGCACAGGACATGTCTCAAACAATAAAGACATCCCCCCCTCCATCTCCACCTTCCCCTCCTTCTCGTCTTCCCTTTAAATCTCCCATCTCCTCTTCTCCACCCTGTCTTTTCACTCCACCATCATTAGAGAAATGACATACCAGGTGCCTCAGTCCGCAGCGAGAGGGAGATGTCACCGTGATCTTAGCACTGCAGAGGAACAAAAGAGAGGGGGACAGGAGGAGAACTTCTCTTCTCAGCTACACTAAATGGCTTCTGATATATAAAGTCACTTCAGATTTTGTGGTAAATTGCTCTAGAAAGCTGCTTGGTTGTCTGTTAAAAGCCTTTTGTACGATGTACTTATGGCAGTGTACTGTTAACCTTTGCTGAGATTATCACACCAGTTGTTATTGTTATGTACAAGACATTTTGTGTAGCTGAGAGAAAAGTGTGCATTGTGTGTCTTACCACTTTTAAAATGTGCAATTTTGCCTCAAATTCTGTTTACATCTGCACTCCTTTCTCCATCGCTGCCTACATCTTTATCTTTTGGTTTTCTTTTGTGATTTTTTGTGTCGATCAGATGGCACTATTTACCTCACTTTTTTCTGTCTTTTACTACTCCTCCTTTCCCTTTTTAATCCTTTCTTCATTTATCTTTTGCATATAGTGGCCTGCATCTTATCAAAAGCCTCAAGCAGCCTTGTTGTAAAAGGCATAATGTGTCACCCTCTGTTCATGTACCGCCAGCTTCGCTCTTAACAACTTACTGAAAAGGTAATGCATGAGGCTTAGGCTAATTATATTAAGTGACAATTTAGCAGCAGAGGTTCCTTTTTGCTTCCCAGCTCTCTGTCTCGCTCTCCTTCTCTCGTCTGTAAATGTGCTGGTCTGTGGGTTTTTCGAGTGGCACTCAGTGTTTCAAGTCAAGCTGGTGGCTCAGCTTCTGACCTGGCTGGTTAATGGCTGTTATTTGTGGGAGGGAGGAGTGGACTCTGCCAATATTGCTCCAGCTCCCTCTCTTTTCCCCCTTTTCCCTTCCTTGGCCATGGTAATGGCCATGATGCCAGAGGAAACGAAAAAGAGACAGAAGTAAAAATATGGAGAAGGAGAAATTTGGAGGGGAAACAGGGAAGGAAAGGAAATAGAAAGATGAAGAATCAAAGGAAACAGGAAAGGGCAGCGAAGAAAGATGTAGGAGATCCTAAGGCTCCTTTATTAAAACTATTATTGTGCAGGACTTGAGAATTCCCCTCAGGGCCGGGGTCCATGTCGAAGCCCATATAATTAACTAGAGGCTCAGCTACGGATCAATTACCAGACAAGCAAGTGATAGCCGAATCAATGGAAGATCATCAGGCTCGTTATCAGTGTTGCAACTCATTAGAGGAAAAGTGAGGTAGAGAAAGAGGGAGAGCATAAAGAGGGGGTGTAGTGGGGAGCGAGGGTGGTTGAGGCAGGAGGAGAGGGCAGAACTGGTGGCAGCGTTAGCCCAGAGACTGATGACTGCGTGTGGGACACTAGTGTGTGATGTATTGTATTCTTTCTTTAACTGCCACTGACTGGTGACAGGGAGAGCCTCATGTGACAGAGTGCAGCCTGCTCTGTAGCAACAGTCACTGAGGCTTGTATGGATCAATACAATCCTGTGCATGAGGTTAAAGCGCTGCCACAGCACCCTTATCCCCCACTGACCCAGTCTGGGGTACAGTCCTACTATGGTTAACAGTGAAGCGTTACAGAACAAAGCCTATGTTTCCAGGAATAACTGTATTATTTTGTAGGAATATCTTAGCAAATTAATTATATTTTAACTAATACCATCCTTTGCCTTGTTTATGGCTTTGTAGCCACTAGAAATGTCAAAAGTACATTTAGTCACACTCTGTCAGCTGTTTCAGGAATAGTTCAGTTGATCAACAAGTTTTTTCTAGTCAGAGCAAATATGTAAAAAAGTCAACAAGAAAGGACACATTTATCTGCACTTTATGAGTTACAGTCTCATGAGAAGTGTGATGCTGTTGCCAAATGTGATGTGTGTGCAAGCAGTACTTGCAAATCGGTTTTATGAAAAGGGCTCCAAGTATTAGCATATATAAGCTTAGCAACCCTTAAAATATGTGGTCATTAGCAGACAGAGAAGGTCTGATGACCTCTGACCTTCCCTGCGCCTGGTCCTGCTGTTCACACTGATACCATTTAAAATATATATTTTAAAAAACATACTGTAGATGCATGTATTCACAGGTCATATAATGTTTTCACATGCTTTGGCAGCAAACTTAGTGAAATCGATGAATTGATTGTTATATCTATTCAGTCATATCTTCCTTCTGTTTGTATTCAGCAAACAGACAGGACAGTAAGCATGGTTTAGGATTTTATAGTACAATACAATTATTCTGTGTACTGTGTACAGCACCAGTGGTGGACGGAGTGCTCAGATTGGTTACTTAAGTAAAAGTGGCAATACCACAGTGTGAAAATACTCAGAAAGTACCAAAAGTAAAAGTACTCATTATGCAAAATGGCACAGTTTATATTGATGTACATCATATTATCCAATTATAATTATTGATGCATGCACATCTCATTTAATGTTGCAGCTGGTAAAGGTGGAGCTGATTTAACTACCTTATATGTTTAAAGTTTGAAATACTGCTGGCTATCTTGTGAATTTTACACCAAGGATCAATAATACTGCATGTTGTTTTATAAACCTCATTATGAAAAGTAACTAAAGTTATCAAATAAATATAGTGAGTCAAAGTACAATGTTTTTCTCTGAAATCTATTGAAGTATAAAGTAGCAGAAAATGAAAATAAGTAAATTACAGATACCTCAGAATTGAACTTAAGTACAATTACTCTTTACCACTGTACAGTATGACAGTGCAACCTGTTCTCCGTGCATAATGGCTGTAAAACATTGAAGTACTATTGTTAAGTTTATACATAATACCATTTACAGTGGTAATGCAGTGTATTACTTTTTCTCTAATTGGTGTGGATGGCTGTAGTAAGGTATAAGTAGGATTCCAACTGCTTACAAAT